TCATTCAATGAGCCCTTTAAGGTTGATTTCTGCAAACGCCTTCTGTGTCCCCATCCATTGGTCACTTATATCTGAGGAGATGTCCCTGGAGAGTGTGCGAGAGTTCTGCTAATCACCCTGTATGCTGACGTGTGTCAGATGATTGCCTTTGGTCCTATCCACATCCAGATGACCATGACGGGATAACCTTTTACACAAATGCGCATTAAGATTGCGCTTCTGGTTAGTGCATTCAAATTACCAATTTCCAGTTATCTAGTCACGGAACTCACGCAAATAAATTACTGCCTTCTTGGACTCTTAGTTACCACCCAAGTCACATGACTATATTTGTATTTATTATTGTTGCCACTATTTATTCCTCATATCTGGACGATTCACTTTGTTTACACATCTACGCCTACTGGCGCTTGCACATATTTCACTTTATTAGTTATTTTAGCGCTGCATCTTTGTTTACATATGTACTATGTTACCTAGAAAATCTTTTGAGTGGGATATAATATAAAAAAATTAGATGTGTTAATTAAAGTGGACCAAAAGTAAACATGCTATGTCCCATAGATGGCTCCATGGCAAAGCACAAATACAATACAAGATAAAGATAAAATTGGATAATAACACTTCCTGTTTAGAAGCATCCTAAGAAACTTTTTGCATTCCAGATGCATGTTGGGAGAATAATTTAGCTAATTAATTTTACAGCCCATTTCCTTAGGTTTCCAGTAAACAAGCTTCATAAAACTTTGTATGCCCTAAGCCCCCATTTTTTCCTCTGCATGCATAATTCAGCAGAAAGGATTTGAATTTTGCTGATAATTTTAGGCAAAGCATCAGAAAAGTACTGTATCTACTTATGTACCATGAATGTGTTATAATGGTGTATCCCTCCATGTTTTCATATTGAAAATGCTGTACAAGTTGTAGAATTCCAGCTTCATAATTTGTGTATTTTGGTATAAAAACACAAAAAAAATTAATCAATTGTTTACAAAAATAGATAACAGAAACCTGGAAATCTTTTGTGAGCACTTAAAATACTAGTGTGACAAATGTTATTGTGCAATCACTATTATGTATGGAAAGGAGAGAATTTGTACTTTTTCCTTCCTATTTTTTTCTTGCTTCGCAATATTTAAAAAAAAAAAAAAATTGTTACATATATGGAGCAGCTTTGACACGGTATTTTTACCTAAATATTTTCTTTATAACTGTCTTCCTTCTGACTTTGTCTCTGACTATTCTTAGCTGAGGCCGAGTGGGTGGCCGTGCCAACCTTAGGTACCGAGCTCTCTTCCGGGCAGCAAGGATCTGTTTAAAGTATACAATTAAATTTAAATTACTGTTCAAAATGTTAGGTTATTTACATCAATCATTTATACATTTGTTAAAGTTTACACCTAGTCCCCCCATTTACAACTTTTATATATTGAATAACTATAAATGAATGTTCTAAAATGTTCTCTGAATTTAGAATTTAATATACATTTAACAGAGGTGAAATATTTTACTTTTCTTACCATCACTTAACAATAGATTCCCACTATTTTATTTCCATACCTTTTCAAAGTTTGATGTATCATGACTAGTCTGAGAAGATGGAGTTGTTAGATGTGGTAACTGCAAGTACTGTTCGCCAGCAATATACTTTACATCTTCACTTAATGCTTCAACAAAAAAGTCAGGTCTTTCTTTCTTCCTCCATGCTACAAAGACTGCTATAAGTAAAATCTGAAAAAAAAAAACTAGTGTTTAGGAACTAAAGTAAAAAATATTTATATTCACGCATTAACGTTTTAGCCCTGCAATCCTAATCAATGGAAAAGAAGGCTGAGCGGCTCCTTCGCCAGTCCATGAACCCCAAGTATTCCTGGAAAATACCAGGGTATTTTCTGGTCACTTGGGCAATATGACACTTTAAGCTTGTTCTGATCCTGATCATCTCTCCACTTGTAAAAGCTCCCAAGTTAGTTTATCAGGTTACCCTGGAAGCCCAAATGTCACATTTACACCTCCAGGTATACTTTTCTGATTCAGACACTCTTTAAACTAACACATAATCTAATATCTAATCCAGAAACTTAGAGTGGTATTAAACCCAAAAACACACATGGATTTGATTGCAGCTCACCAAAGCCAGTATGTCTGTTATTTTTCAATTTGCTTTAAAAGAAAAGTATGGTTCTACTTCTCTTCTGGGCCACAAGAGTGCACATATTTCTGCACTCCTTTAACCCAGATTCAGCCAACAGCAGGCTAAAGCCTGATGTTGGCTGACATCACAGAGCCAATCCAGGCTCTGGAAGGTCTGGACATTAAGGTCAGGATGCACCCAGATGTCTGACCGGCAGCTGGCTCAGCCTCTCAGTGCACTGATGAGAGACTGAGCCAGCAACTCCCACCCCCTTAACAGCCTGGAGCTCCAGTGAGTGCTGGAGAGGCAGAGCAGAGAGCTGATGACTGACAATCACCGCTCTCTTCTCACTGAAGCTCACGAACTGAGCAATCAACGGTCATGTGATCACTCAGTTCTTGGTCTTAGAGCCAGCACGGGACAACTGCTGCATCAGACCAATGCTGCAGCCATATAGGTGAGTATGTATGTTTTGTTTTTTTTTTATGTCCCACACTTCTGTTTAACAGACACACAAAATTTCTGCTTGGTTAAGTTAATCATGCTGAATATGCGTGCAGCCATATACTGCAATAAAATTCATCAAGCCCTTATATGTACAGTTATATCATAAGGGTATGCGCTACTAATAAATTATATAAATATATCTATCACCATATATAATGTGACCAAAAAAATAAATAAATAAATAAAATATCCAAAATCCATATAGTGTGTAAAATAAATATAGTGTCCAAAAACAATATATAAATATATCTATTAGTGTCCAAAAATAATTATCTTCAGTGACATCATAACACTGTGAAACATCCACCACCAAAAATGATTGAATGAACTCACCAGAGCTATTTGCTGGTCAAATTATAAACTAGCAATAGCGCTTGTGCTATGGGAGCGATGAATAATGATGTCCAATTAGTAGATGTGGTAATACTAATTTATTAGTAGCGCATACCCTTATGATATAATTGTTCAATTTGCCAAATTAATTTTTTTGGTGGGAATTGCGGCTGACACATAGTTTGTTGTTAAAGTGGCGCTTTCTTCCTTTTATTATTTTGTATACCTTATATGTACAGTGTATGAGCAGAAATGAATTGTAAATACTCGTATATGCTGCCATTGTTATTTTAGCCTGTTAAAGTAGCAACAATTGTGAAAATTGCTGATATTACTGTAATTCAATGCTATATAGTATACTAAGCTTACAAAGTGAACATCTCACAGCTTGATAGTACTGAAAGTGTATTTTCACTTTTGCAGCCAACAAGGAATAATACCTACTTTATATTTGTTACATGTTCCAACTCACATAGCTTAACTTTAAAAAATATTTAAAATTACTGAAGACCTCAGTAAAATAAAGGGGTGGGCAACTACATGGCAAATGAAATTTAATGTTGTAAAATGTAAAGTAATGCACTTAAGGGCTAAAAATATGAACACAAGTTACTTGATAGGGGGAGAACCTCTGGGGGAATCCAGGATGGAAAAAGATCTGGGGGTCCAAGTAAATGACAGACTCAGCAATGGCATGCAATGCCAAGCTGCAGCAAGCAAAGCTAGCAGACTATTGCCATGCATAAAAAAAGGGTATTTACTCAAGAGATAAAACTATAATCCTGCCATTTTATAAAACTTTGGTTTGGCCACATTTGAAGTATGCCATCCAGTTCTGGTCACCTCAGGGAGGATGTGCTGGAACTGGAGAGAGTCCAGAGAAGAGCAACAAAACTAATGAGGGGACTGGAGGACCTCAGTTATAAGATTGACTACAAACATTAAACTTATTCTCCCTGGAAAAGAGACGCTTACGAGGAGATATGATAGCCATATGCAAATATCTTAATGGTGATTCTAGTATAAAGAATATACTCAGGAAGTATAACAAGACAAGGGGCCACTCAATGAAATTGGAGGAGAAACAGTATAACCTTAAACTACGTAGGGGGTTTGTCACTGTCAGGGTGGTAAGGATGTGGAACTCACTTCCACAATCAGTGGTGTCAGCGAGAAGTATTGATAGTTTAAAAAAACACTTGGATGGGCTTTTTTTGTGAACACAGTGTACAGAGATATTATTTTTTTAATATGAACACCCACCCACCCGCATACACGGTTGAGCTGGATGGACTGGTGTCTTTATTCAACCTTACCAAATATGTAACTATGTACCTTTTTACTTGCAGTTCTGCTTAACAATTATACCTAACATTCCACCTCTGTTTAATGTTAGGGAGGAGGCTGTTGAGTTATGTTCATCATAATGAATCCTGTCTGCACTGTGCTGTCAGATCTCATTATCAGTTGTAAACTAAATGTGCACAATTCTAACAAACAGCTAAAGATCTCAAGGCTTGGGTGGTACATTGTATGACAATGCATTTAAAATAACTCTCCCTCAGTCTGTCCCTTTACTGTTGTCACTATCAGGGAACCAGGCCTGAGGTTGATGGTGTGGACCATTGCTTGAGAGCATGCATAAAGACAGAGAATGGCTGGAAACCAGCTGAAATGGTGAAAACTGTATTTTGTTTTTTTTTAAATATATCAACTGTTTATGATAGAGCAAATGAAATGTTATGCATTTAGGGTTTACATGTACTAAAATACACTAAAAAGAACAAGGTGTAACAGCATAATTAATTAACTTTAATTGGAATAAAATAAAATACAGTTCAACCTAGTTTATGTCCATGTCCTTCCCCAACTATCATTAACCACCTCCCGCCCGCCATATAGTAATATGACGGGTGCAAGGTGGTTCTCTCATTCTGGGAGGACATCATATGACGTCCTCCCATTCTCTCTGCGTATGCACTGCGAGCGGCGGTTGCGCTGTGTCCCTCGGACACAGCGGATCACCGATCACGGAAAGAGCCAAAGATGTCAGCTCGGTCATGTGATCAGCTGTGTCCAATCACAGCTGATCACATGTAAACAGGGAAATGTCGGTTATCGGCATTTTCTCTCCTCTCGAGCTGTCACACTGACAGAGGAGAGGAGAGCCGTTAATCAGCTTTCCGCGGGAGGGGACATGTACACTGATCATCAGGGCACTGATGATCAGTGTAGCCCCAGCAGTGCCAACTATCAGTGCCTTGTGTCAGTGCTCATCAGTGCCTTATGTCAGTGCTCATCAGTGCCTCGTGCCAGTGCCCATCAGTGCCACATATCAGTGCCTACCAGTGCACATCAATGCCACATATCAGTGCCCACCTGAGCTGCCTTTCAGTGTCACCCATCAGTGCCAGTCTAGTGCCACCTATCAATGCCAAATTACTGCCACCTATCAGTGCTGCCAATCAGTGCCACCTATTAGTGCCAGTCAGTGCTGCCTATCAGTGCTGCCTATCAGTGTGCATCAGTGCCGCTGCCTAATTAGTGCCAGTCAGTGCTGCCTATCAGTGCTGCCTATCAGTGCCATGTATCAGTGCTGCCTTTCAGTGCCCATCAGTGATGCCTGTCAATGCCCATCAGTGCCACCTACCAGTGCTTCCTCATCAGTGGCCATCACTGCCACCTATCAGTGTCCATCAGTGCAGCCTATTCAGTGCCCATCAGTGCAGCCTCATTAGCGTACATCAGTGAAGGAGAAAAATCACTTATTTACAAAATTTTATAACAAAAACTAAAGAAAAAAAAAATTTTTTTCAAACTTTTCAGTGGTTTTTGGTTTGTTTAAGAAAAAAAAAAAATCCCAGTTGATCCCAGAGGTGATTAAATACCACCAAAATAAAGCTCTGTCACAAAAAATGATAAAAATTTCATTTGGGTACAATGTTGTATGACCGCGCAATTTTCATTCAAACTGCGACAGCGCTGAAAGCTGGAAATTGGCCAGGGCAGGAAGGAGGTATAAGTGCCCTGTAGGCTAGTGGTTAAACTAATACATACTGTATATACCCTTCATATGTTAAACCTTGTCTGGTGTGAGCTTCTCATTTATTCTCCAATACCCTTGTGGGATTTAGTAAACATGTCTTGTGAATGTTTATAGATTAAACTTCAGAAAAACCTTTGTTTAATAATGGAAAAGCCATAATGGTGGATTTACTAAATGAAAACAGACTCTGCACTCTGCAAGTGCAGTTGCATTATTTTTCCTCAGTAAATGTAAAGGTGGTAAAGCATAATTTTGTAAATCATATCAAATCAGGTGCAAGGAAAAAAAAAAAACAGCATTTTGCTTTCACATGATTGGATGGTGGAAATCAACAGAGCTTTGCAACATTCACTAAACTCTGTGGAAAATGAGTGCAACTGCACTTGCAGAATGCACAGTCTATTTGCCTTGAGTAAATCAACCCCATAAAATCTCTTTCATGATTTTATTGCTGTCCCTAAAAAGTGGTCATCAGAACAAGAAATGAGGGCAAATCTCAGTACTCACACAGTAATAAAATCATAAGAGGTTTTTTCTTCTTTGCTCATGCTATCCAAATTAAAACATGGTCCGTCTGTTATTAGATTTGGGTACAGTGTGATACATATCAACAGGGTTGTCTTCCCTGTGTGGCAATGATGGAGAGAGGTGAAAGTTATGGTCCTAACTCAATACAGAAAAGTGTTGGTCGGGGCGGGACTGACCATTTGGAAACTCGGGCACTGCCCGAGGGCCCGGGGTCAGTAGGGGGCCCATGAGATGCCCCTGGTACCTTTTTCATAGGCTTTTTTTTGAGTTTGGGCAAGGACACAGGGGCCCCATGATCCCCTATTGCCCGGGGCCCCATGATCCCCTATTGCCCGGGGGCCCCATGAGTTGTCAGTCCACCCCTGGTGTTGGTCCATTTGAGGTACTGTTCTTCCCACTGACTTTTCACCCATAGAGACATGCTCCCAGGCTCATTTTAAGACCCATTTTTGCTCTCTTATAAGGCTGCCACTGGCTAGTGGCAACTATTTTATCTTTGTGAACAGCCATGCAGTAAATCAATAAATGAGGATGAACTGTAAATTTTGTTTACAAAGTGGTTTCCACTATAAATAATAAAGTTAAGTATATGATATTCCTTTGCTATTTCTATAAAAAATATAAAAGGCATCTTAAACATCTTACCAAAAAGGGTTGCAAAATAAAAATGCAGTAGATCATAGAGAAAAAAACTGCATGCAGCCAGAGAACACACTTAGTAATGCTGAATCTGAAAATAAAAAATACATTTATAATTAGAGTTTTATTTTTTGTTGATAATTCAATATATTCTGATGCAGAGCTTGCCTTTGTTTGTAGTTAGTTAGTAATGTGAAACAAAAAATGTTAAAGCTGTGAGAATGGGCTTGGTGCCATTTAAAAGCTGGGCATACACTAGTAGGATCTTGAATGAAAATTCTCAGAAAATTTTGTACAAAATTCTTGGAACATTCGAATTTCACTCAGATTTTATTTGCTTTTAATATTTGATATTGGAATGATTGGACTTTACCAAACGAAAACCACATATACTATTAGGAAAGTGTACATGCTCAAAAAAGTTTCCATCTTGTTCCTTAAAATTCTCTTGTCACTGTTGTCAAATTATTAATATAATACAGGATTTATATAGCACCAACAGTTTATGCAGCGGATCAGAGGGCCCTGCTCCTTAGAAAAGTGGTTCTCAACCTGTGAGTTGCGACCCCTTTGGGGGTCGAATAACCCTTTCACAGGGGTCCCCTAAGACCATCAGAAAACACATATTTCCGATGTGTAAAGAGCAGCTACTGTGTAGAAAGCAGCTGCTGTTTTGAAAGCAGCTACTCTGTTAAAAGCAGCTACTGTGTTGAAAGCAGCAGTATTGGAGGTAAAACGACACTCATGAATTATAATTACTGGGTAAATAATTTTATGGTTGGGGGTCACCACAACATGAGGAACTGTATTAAAGGGTCACGGCATTAGGAAGGTTGAGAAACACTGCCTTAGAGCTTACAAATGATAATGATCAAAAATTCTACTAGTGTATACCCAGCTTTTACCTAATGACAGGCTGGAGAGATAACATAAGAATGTGTGAAGAGCTACAGCTTTCAATAGTGGTGTCACATGCCTTTGATTATAAAGCCAATACAGCTGCCATGGAAGGATCAAAATATGACTGGTTCAGCAGTCAACCTATGGCCATTCCAGCTAGAGAGAAGTCAGTCTAACAATCTGCTTTTCTCGAAAAGGAAAGTTGGAAATTTTCCATTTGAACAGTGCATGTAGCCTAAACAATGCTGAGGAGTCCCCTTTATCAGAAGACAACAACACAGCGGGAAGGATTCCTTTATACTTTGTGTGGATAGAGGAATTTGTTTGTTTTTTTGATCAGCTCCCTGGATAATCAGTAAAAAAAAAGAAAAAAAATGTTCCATCTGTGGCCAGCTTAACAAGAATTTGATTCACAAAACTGGCAGTTCAGTGATAAAATTAGAAATATTTTTGCAAATAAATTAGTGCATATACAGTATGTATTTAAGTCTGTATTTGCATATTGTGTTTTAATATTGAAAGCTGTTGCAAATGTACAATATTTATTGATTATTTTCAGGAATTGGTATCGGCTGTCAGTTTTAAAAATGAACAAAATCACTGGGACAACAAAATCTGCTGTTAATGATGAATTATTCACAAGAAGGTGTAGCAATGTACCTGATTCCAATCACCACTGTTACTATTCCAAATCCCACGCTAAACACAGCACAAAGTGACCAGGCTAGATAGACACACCATGGGGGCAGGACCTTGTTCTCATTTAGAAAGGAAATGTCAAACAGTCTAAGATCTACGAAACATAAGATACAAAGAAAAACACACTAGTACAATATGCAAGCAGAAGAAATTTACTTATTGTTGGTTCCTAACAGGGGTGGACTGACAACTCCTGGTGCCCCCGGGCAGTAGGGGATCATGGGGCCCCTGTGTCCTCTCTCACACTCAAACCACACCCAAAAAAGCCTATGAAAAGTACCAGGGGCATCTCATGTTGCCCCCTACTGACCCCGGGCCCTCAGTCAGTGCCTGAGTTCCCAAATGGTCAGCCCGCCCCTGGTTCCTAAGAGCATTACACAGATAAGCATCAAGTTTTGTTTACATCTTCTTAAAAAAAATCCTCAGATATCCATATGTATTGTTGTAGATATTATTTACGTTACACTTCAGACTATTTTGAGACATTCCTAGCTAATTGATCCCATGTTTAGTATTTGTATGCTATGTCAAAATGTATCAGCTAGGGGGTGCGGGATTGTATGACTACTATGATGCTCAACGAACAGATGTCAAGTATATGCAACGACTCTCAACGTAAATTTTTTAAAATATGGGAGCCGTGGTTGCAATATGCCTTTCCCACACTCCCCCGGCCAGTATGGGGAGGTAATGGAGTTTGGTATTGGCGTTCGGTATTGGCGCTCATAGACCCCTGCTCTTTGGTGTGTGGTTTTTTTTTTTTTTTTTTTTTCCTTCTTCTCTTCTTCTCTCTTTTTCTGTTTGTTTTGGTGTGACAGTGGACAGCTGTCTTTAGTTGCGATAGTCAGAGTTTCACTGATGTTATTGTAACTTATGTGCCATTGATAGCCTCTGCGTGGGCATACGTTTTGCCTTGTTGGAGTTAGAGCGTTGTTTTCCCTATTATGCCTTTTTTTATCGGTGCAATTGATAGCCCCTGCATGGGTGTGTTTTGTTGCCTCTGTTTTCTACTGTTTAAAATTAATAAAAACCATTGAAATACAAAATGTATCAGCTATGTTTTCTTGAATTTTAGGAATGTGTGGTCAAGTTTGCATCATGATTATGTTTTGATACCATTAGATTTGCTATGTAGATTGTAAACTTACGATGTTTTAACCACAAAAAGATTTGTGAAAATGTAAAATCTTCAAAACGTCTAGTGTCTGGCCAGCATAAAAGTGTTAGATTTTAAATCACTGACATCTACTTTATTTGTGTTACATTTTACCTGATGATTGTTGCACACAAGTGCCGTTTGAGCAATCCCTGATGTTTTTCAATCCAGGTGTATGACAATGACTAATATTACAACTGCAGTCATCAATTCCAGTAGAGTTCTGAGTAGGTGAGGGGCAACCACTTTTGTGTTTTCTTCTGCCATCTGTAGAGTGAATGCTTGAAGTGGAAATATCTCTCTAAAACAAACAAAAAAGGATAAGAGAATATTTCTCTGCAGTAGTGTTCAACATACAGCCACATCCACTTCCCTGTAGACAAATCACTTTAAAAGAAAGAAGATAACCAAAGCTTCTTGTAACCGTTACCACCTCTGCAACCCTTGCGGTTATGTTGTAGACTGCAGAAGTTGCTACTTTCATGGATGGATGAGATTATGTCCCAGGAGATAGCAACGTTGGTGCTTGGAAGCATTATTAATCTGTACACAGGCAAAAGCAGCAATATTAAACAAATAAACATTTTGGCTATTATGAGTGTAGGGGACATACCCTGGCTAATTGGTGGCATCCACAGCAAGTTTGTAGACGTTCTTTGTGATCCAAGCTTGATTACTTTTAATAAAAGTGAGCTGGTTTAAGCTATCTGGGAACAAACAGATGCCCTTGTGAAGTACAAATACTGCTATGCCATGTCTGACAAGGCTCTTCACTTCACATGTACAGTATATATAGTAACACCTTGCTACTATGTAATTATTCAGTGCATACAAATACCTCAAATATGTGCTGCAAACTATAAACAAAAGATACAACAAACAAATATTAGGTAGTGAACATAACAAAATGAGTAAATCAAGCAAAATAACACATGGAACAATAATCTGTATCCAGGGGCGGACTGACCATTCAAGCACTTGGGCAGTGCCCAAGGGTCCGGGGTCAGTAGTGGGCCCCATGAAATTCCCCTGGTACCTTTTATAGGCTTTTTTGGGTGTGCTTTGAGTGTGGGCAAGGACACAGGGGCCCCATGATCCCCTATTGCCTGGGGACCCCATGAGTTGTCAGTCCGCCCCTGTCCTTATCACTATGTGAAGTATTCAGATGTAAATAAATCCACCAATGTGTATAACTCAGTACTCCACGTGCAATCCAGCCTTCTACTGAACTAGACCTCACTGCATCAGAATGACCATCAATATAAATGTAAGTCAAAAAAGCAGTTCATAATCTCCTTCACAGAATTAATCCTGCTCCCCTCTATGGTATTGAACTCAGTATAGATGGATATCACACAGCATGCTCTTGCACCAACATATACGTGTGCAATGTTCAAAAGAGAAGATAGAGTCCAATGGTCCATCCTAAACATGCAGTAGTCATTGGGGTGTCCCCTTCTCAGATTTTCTATTTCAACCTTAAATCCTACTCACTGTCCAATAGATTAATGTGCTTTGTGTGACTGGTGCCTGTTGTCAAGCCTGTTGCAGCCTTAAAAAAGCTGTGAAATACCTTGACGAGAGGTACTGCTGTTTATCAGGCAGAAGCTAAAAGAGACTTGACTGGCAGTGGTGGAATTTCCTCCACCATAATGGATATTCCACAACTAGGCATTTTCAATGGAGACACCGCCAAAGTAATGCATTTTGAAATCCCTCTTGGATGGTGAGGGAAGATCTGCCACTTTTCCTAGAAAGCATGGATCTAAGGGGGTGGTCACCCAATAAGTATCTTTTTCTGTGACAGCATGTATGCAAGGGTCCTAACATAGGCACTGTAGCATGAAGGACATCATGTGCCATAAATGGGCTGTGGCTAAGAAAATATGTTGCCTTTGTCAATTATAGTCCATGCTTAGTGATATAGCACAAACCATTAACACCACTGTAGTAATGCTAATGAAGGATCCACGTGTTGTTTTGGCTTACTTGCAAAAACCAAGTCTGATTAGTACAGTCTTCTCATTTATTCGATAGGTGCAACTGAACATAGTCATTATATTTTATTGTGCCTATGGAAAGCCTATTGTTTCTGGCAGAATTTTAAACAAATGTTTAAAACTATGGTTTAATAACATGTAGAAAATTATTCATATTTGGATTATCATGTCTCTCACATGCCAATACCTGATATTTCTTCTTCCACGTATCATATGCCCAGTACTGGAAATGTTGCCATGCCAAACTAGATTGAAGAACAGTGTCTGCTTCTTGTATATAATGTTGATGACCTGCAGTTTGCAAAGACAGAGTAATTCAACTGTATATATCGATATACTTATTGCAATCATCATTTTCTGTTGATTCCTGTACAATGAACAATCCAAGCATTTTAGTTATTTAATCCATTGTTGTCCATTATTATTTAAAAGTGGCAACAAGCATACCAATACGTTGTATATGTGTATTATTTTTATAAATTATGGAATAAGGATCTAGGCTCTTGGTCTTGGAGACACCAGTGGTGTGCAGGAGTCACAAAACTACAAACAGAGGTTTAGTTAATTGCACCTTCCTTTAAAGTTGAGAGCTTTGAAAATCCTTTCATTGCCATGAGGATAATGGATACTCCATGGCTGTCCATCACTTTTTTAGCCAAAGATTCATCCATTACATCATGGGTGTGAAATGGTGTTTTTCTCTGACATTTGTGCTCAAGAGCATGACTGTGGATTGAGTAGAGAGACATTTGCTCTTACTGATTTCTTGAACAGTCAATGAACCTGGAAGTGTTCATGCCTTTCCTCAGTAGTTAAAATAAATAAGTGACACAGACTTATACTGTGTGTATGCACACATAACATATACAGTATGTAGATGCAACAGATATGTACAAGTAGCAGTTGCTAATTAATGCTCCAGAACTGCACTGTTTATATCAAGTAGGAAATGTGTAGTTTATATTGTGTTTTTGTATGGTAATTAATATATTAAACCTGACCATTAGGAATGAGCCAATGGATTGGTCTGACTCCGAACCTACTTTAGCCTATTCAGTCTCCTGTTCAGTGGGAGCCATGCATCATACATAGAAGTAGTATCCATTCTTTTTTGCTTCTATCTATGGTAGCTTTCCATGGTGCACGTCTGTTGTCCTTAGGAATGACTGAAGTCATGGGGAATCCCAGCTATTTTTAAGCAAAGGGGCGGGGATAACAGTGACATCACTGACATTGGCCATGGCCATATTTTGTCAGTGATGACACCACTATCCCCTTTGTTCCTCTATATAGCGGAGGAAAGCTCGGGGAGCTGTCATTAGGCTATGTGTACAAGTTGGCGGCAATGGACATCATGATTAACAGAGGATTTACAATTAGGGGCATTTTTGGGGGATTTTTATTTTATAAAGGACGTGTCATCAACCTTGGGTAAGCTACTTTGCTGGGGGGGGGGGGGGGGGGGTTTGAGGGCATGTAGCCTGGTTTGGTTCAGGAATGAGGGCACACACTCACCCCACCCCCCTTCCTTACCTGGCCAGCCAGACTGCATGCTTAAATTTGAATGAAGGGTCTGGTATGGATTTTTGGAGGACCTTTTTTATTAATTGTTTTGTGTGAAGTCCCCCTTAGAATCCATACCAGATTCTAGGATTTTCTGGGAGACCTCACACATTTTTTCTTTTTTTGCACAAGATATTCCCTTAAAATCCATGTTAGAGTCAAGGGGTTTGGTATATATTTTGCGGGGGGGGGGGGGGGGGTTCTACACAATTTTTTTTTCATTCTTACTGTAGGATGTGCTACAGCAAAAATAAAATTTGCAAAGAAAAAAAGATACAATTTAAATTGTTCGCAAATTACATTCTTTGCCATTCTTCTTAAAAAAAACCCAACATAAACCCCCCCAAAGGTCCCCCAAATGCGCCCCTTCACAGACAGGATTAGGACAACCTCCAGGCATATTATTTATATAGAGGAAGTAGACATTTTTAGTTTTTCACTTTAAGTATGGTGGCTGTCAGAATACAATAGCTGTAGCATAAGATTTGTCCATCTGTGCTGAATAGTGTGAATAAAGGAATCCTTTAGATTTTTTTCATTCAGTCTACAGCCTGAATGAAAAAATCTATGGGGTTGATTTACTAAAGGCAAATGGGCTGTGCACTTCAAGTGCACTTGGAATTGTACTGCAAATGCACTGAAAGTACAGTTAATCTAGATCTTAGGGGAACATGAAAGGAAAATAAAAAAACAACTTTTTTGTTTGCACATGATTGGATAAAAGAAATCAGCAGAGCTTCACCTCATTTCAGAGCTTCCCCTTGGATTTAAAGCAACTGCACTTGCAGTGCACAGTATATTTATCTTTAGTACATCAACCCTAATGTGTTTATGAGCAGCCTTAGGCACATTTGTAGGTGTACAATGGGATATACAAAATAAGATTATCATTTTGTAATCCTTATTCTTTCTATTCTGACAAAAATATTGTATATGTCTTCAGTGAGATATCTTTAAGTATGTCAATTTTATTGATACATGTGCCAAAAGTAAAAACTGGTAAAGCCATATGTGGTGTGCAATAATAGAGTTTTCCTATGGCATTAAAATGGTTTTATTATTCTCACCTTCATGGCAGTTCATATTAAAAACCTTAATCTTAGAATGGTCTTCTCTGAGATATTTATTCACCTTCTACAAGGGAAAGAAGAAACATTTGTGAATGTGAGTCTGCTACAGCAAAAGATGTTAGATTGTGGAATAAAAGATATGAAGGTTGGGACTTACTGGAATTTCAACTTACCTTACTATACCTAAACAGAAGAGATAATAACAATGCAATTGGATACACAACCATTGTAGACTGAAATCCGGATATCAGGGAAGTGATAGAAATGTCAATAAGGCCATTTTCAGCAGTATACTTAAAAATCAATTAAATAAAAAAACAAGGTTAGGACATGATCTGATTGGTCTCATGCTTCTAGATGTAAACATTACATTTGCATGTGCATGTTGAATACATAAGATGCTTTTTTACAGCTTTCACTGTTGTTAAACAATATGTAACATGGAATCATTCAACTACCCTTGTAAGACATATAAATATATAAAATCTTGTGCTTAAATATTAAATAAATAAGTTTATGACTTACAGTATAATATAGCAAAAAAAACTGGTTATGGTGATGATAATAGAACACATTATAGTAAAATTAAGCTTTTATATTTTAAAATCTGGAGAGCAAAAAAAGGAAAAGGTACAGGTATATGGTGTGTATTTCCATTATGTTTTTTATATCCCTGATCTTTAATTCTTAATTCATATTGGAATATATAGATGAGTTATTCGATCTATTCAGCCACAAGGCATGGACAATGGAAATCCTTTGGAGTGGAAAAGTTGCCAGCCAAGATTCTAAATACTCTGTCAAACACCACTACAAATTTCTATACTAACAGAACAAGCCCAGGCTTCCTGGCTTCCTACTTTCCCAAATCTCCGGAGAGCTACTAAATATCAGCAAGTTGCTATTGCTGTCAGCCTCAGCATTGCAAGTATCAGCATGAGGCTTTGCAGGGAGTCATGGACACTACTGCACACAATTCAGGTTCTGATTCTCTCTGCTTGCAGACAGCTCTGAAGAAACGTACTCCAGAAAAGCAAAGAAACTTAGAAACTGAATTATATGCGCAGTAGTGGCTTTTGGATGGTCTCTTAGAGTTGTCAGGGCCATAGGATGGAAAAATGTTAAAGAAAAGAATGAGAACAATCTATCTGTACAGTTAGAGATGACATGGCAAGGGAGGCAAGGCAATGTTATAATCATGGGGGACTTCAATTATCCGATATTGAGAGGGCAGATGGAGCTATGCACTCAATCAAAGCTCATAGTTTCTTGAATGTGATGCAGGACAATTTCAAGAGTCAAATGGTAGAAGCCCCAACTAAAAATAATGCTTGGCTGGACATACTAATAACAAAACACAGAAACGATTGCAGATGTGGAAGTAAAGGATAACTTGGGAAGGAGTGATCTCAGAGTAATTACGTTTGCCATAAATGATAGGAAAAGAAGATACAAATGTCGGACAAGAACACTAAATTTCAAAAGAACCAGCTTTACTAAGGTCTGCTCCATACCACATGATACAAATGTGATCAAATTCTTGAAACAAAGAACGCTTAAGAAAAGTGGGAGTACTTCAAGGATATGCTGTTAGTCAGTGCATTCCAATAGGCAAAAAATATGAAAGAACAAATGTTAAACCTGTCCTTTAAAAAATAATAAGGCAGAGGGGGTCACCAGCGGCATTCCAAAATTACAAAGAATAATATAGGAAAGACAAGAGCACAATCAGTGCAGCTAAAATAGATTACAAGAGACACATTGCTGAGGAGAGTAAAAAAAAATCCCAAAATGTTTTTAAAATATATTAATAGTAAGAACATATTATTCCCATGAAGGATGATCAGAAGCTGGTTGCAAGTGATAAGGAGAAGGCAACTGTATTAAATACATTCTTCTCCTCCGCTTATATAAAGGAAAATGTTGGGCATAAAAAACAAGACAGTAATGTTAATAACAGTATATTAAATGTACCCTTGTGACTGACAGAGACCAGGGTTCAAAAAAGACTAGAAAAACAGGGTGGATGGCTTACAAGTGAGAGCTCTCAAAGACCTTAGCAGTATTGTAGCCAGCCCCATTATACAGTATCTCACAGAAGTGAGTACACCCCTCAGATTTTTGTAAATATTTTATTATATCTTTCATGTGACAACACTGAAGAAATGACACTTTGCTACAATGTAAAGTAGTGAGTGTACAGCTTGTATAACAGTGTAAATTTGCTGTCTCCTCAAAATAACTCAACACACAGCCATTAATGTCTAAACCGCTGGCAACAAAAGTGAGTACACCCCTAATTGAAAATGTCCAAATTGGGCCCAATTAGCCATTTTCACTCCCCTGTGTCATGTGACTCGTTAGTGTTACAAGGTCTCAGGTGTGCATGAGGAGCAGGTGTGTTAAATTTGGTGTTATTGCTCTCACTCTCTCATACTGGTCACTGGAAGTTCAACATATGTATATACCCAGGAACTACAGTTTAATCAGCCTAACATCAATAGTGTTTAAACTATTGAAAGGAATTGTAAGGGACCATATCCAAAAATGGCCAAAAATGTGCTGAAGAGAATAGTATCATTAGTAGTATTCATCACGGATTTATGAAAGGCCACTCTTGCTGGCCTTTAAACATTCCCATAAGGAGGTGAGCTGTAATTTGGGTAGTGGAAGGCCCATGGATGTGGTGTATCCGGATTTTGCTAAGACATTTGATACAATACCCCACAAATGCTTAATTCACAAGTCAAGGTATTTTGGCATTGATGAAATCATCTATACCTGGATAGAAAACTGGTTACAGTAGCGTATTCAGAAAGTGGCAATTAATGGCATATTTTTTAATTGGTCTAGAGCAGCAATGGGCAAACTACGGCCCGGCGGACCTTTTAATCCGGCCCGCGGAGCGTGATACAAAAAAAAAAAAACAGCCAGGGCAGCGCGCTCAAATGCAATGATTGGCCAGTCTCGCTGCCACTCACATCCTGATAGCCAGTGATTGGCTGTCAGGATGTGTGTAGGCGGGGCAGCGTGATGAACGTGAGGGGAGCTAGGCTCCTCTCACAGTCCGCCCTGAAGACCGGAACGGCGCGGGAACACGGCGAGAAGAATGCGCGGAGCAAAGGTAAGTAAATTGACACAGGGGGGACTTGGCTTACTACTTGCTACTTACTTACTACTACTATATGAGGGATGAATTAATATGGGGGATGAATTAATATGGGGAATGAATTACTATAGGGGGGATGAATTACTATAGGGGGGATGAATTACTATATGGGGGATGAATTACTATGCTTACTATGGGGGAATATTACTATACTTACTATGGATGGCATGGTAGTGGCTGGGCCGGCCAGCAGCTAGTCCGGCCCCCGGGTCCAATATGTGAACCCATTGCGGCCCTCAAGTCAAAAAGTTTGCCCACCCCTGGTCTAGAGTTACCCCAGGGATCTGCCTTAGGACATATTCTGTCTAGCTTGTTCATAAATGATATAGAGGTTGAAATAACGAGGTTCAATCTAAGTGTTTGTTGATGATGCAAAGCTAAGTAGTATGATAACTTCACAATAGAATAAAGCCACTTTACAAGTAGACCAAGTGAATGGGATGGACAGCTACATGACACACAAAGATAAAAATATGAATGAAAGTTACTAGCTAGGAGGTGAAACTCTGAGGGAATCAAGGATGGAAAAAGATTCGGGGTCATTGGAGATCTTGGCAAGCAATAGCATGCAATGCCAAGCTACAGCAAGCAAGACCAGCAGGCTATTAGCATGCATTTAAAAGGGTATTTAATCAAGAGATAAAACTAGAATTCTAACACTTTACAAAACTATGGTTCTGCCACATCTTGAGTATGCTGTCCAGGTATGGTCACAAGAATAGTTCTTTTATGATTTTAACTCATATGTCCACACATTTTGTTAGCTATGTTATAATTAAATGACTGTTCTTGGTAAATCAGAAGGAAGCCTACCTGATCTTCTTTCCAGTGAAGGAGGATAACGTTGAAACACATATACCCCAAGCACATGACAAAACATGTGGTTATTCGTTGAGTATGACTGAACCAACTGTAAGATGGCCGGCTAAAGATTGAACCCCAAGAATGGAAATCTTCCAGAAATTGTGTGAATTTGCAGTAGAAGAGCTGGGAATAAAGACACAGAAAAATATTGTACAACATGATGGATAAATAGGTCAATTTTACCCCACAATAAAGGTACCAACAAACACAAGACAGGTGTTATAGTATATGACCACTGCATAAATGTTTTAAGGAATGGTATGAACATGCATAATTGTATGGCTAAATCTGGCCATAGATGGACTGTTTAAAAACAAACAAACAAAAAAACAGATTCCCCCATTTACACAATCGAGGTGTATGGGGGAATCCTCTCTGCTTCGCTATTTATTCTGATAGCAGGACTTCTCTGCTGTCAGAATACACTGACCAGAGCTGCAGCCAATTGGTCGAACAAGAATTTTCCAATATGCAACAGAAGTTATCATTAGACTGATTGATGGCTTCTCTCTAGCCTGAAAGGCCATAGATGGATCAAAATTGGGCCAGTCTCTGCTGAAGTGCCTGAATTTCAATCCATCTATGGCCAACTTAAGGGAACATCCCTTGCACCAGCCCTATTCAAGGCTACAATAGCAATCATTTAGGAAAATCTTTCAGCTAAGCAATGGCTGCACAGATCTAAGGTAGACATAAGATCATTTCCTGATCTAGCTATTATCTTCGGCAGGAAAAACAAATGTGAATTAGGTATAAACACCCTAGGAGGATTTCTAGTCTTTTCAATTTTCATTTACATAAACAAGTAAACACAATCAGCTTAATACAGACATTATCAGCATGTTAAAGTATAAATAAAGGCAACTTGTTTGTTGTTTTGGATAGATTGTAGAGGGATTAGAACACCTATTTTTAGTACTGTCTGTGCTCCCATTAGGAAATTATCTCTCTCTATTTGCCTTGTTTACTGTTATCATCAATAGTGAAAATGAAAGAAAATCCAAAATTTTGAGTTGTCACTAAAACAGGAAGAGAGGGGAAATCTTCCACTGGGGACTGGGAAAGTTCTGGTCACTTCCTGTTCTGGCTATGGGACAGGAAGTGAAGATAAATCTCCCCAGTGGGGCACAGATGGCAAAAAAAATGACATGGGTTATAACGGCTTTACTGCGGTTGGCCAGTTCTGGGAGGGCGTCATATGATGCCCTCCGTGACCACGTGATGTGGTAAAAAGCCAATCACAGCGGCCTTCTACCACGTGATCAGCCGTGTCCAATGACACAGCAGATCACCAGTAAATGCAGTTGCCGGTTTATCGGCTGCACATTTCTCACGCTGTCACAGAGTGAGGAAAGTACTGCCTATAACCGGCAATTGTCAGAGGAGGGATCGGCACTGATCATCAGGGCACTGATAATCAGTGCCCTGAGGATCAGTGCCCAGCAGTGCCACCCACCAGTTCCGGGCATCTGTGCCCAGCAGTGTCGCCCACAAGTGCTCAGCAGTGCCACCCACCTGTGCCCAGCAGTGCCACCCATCGGTGCCCAGCAGTGCCACCAGTCAGTGCCACCCATCAGTGCCCATCATTGTTGCATATCAATGCCGCATATCAGTGCCACATATCACTGCTGCCTATCAGTGGCCATCAGTGCCGCCTATCAGTGCCCACCATTGTTGCATATCAGTGCCAGCTCATCAGTGCCACCCATCGGTGCCACCAGTGCTGCCTATCAGTGCATCCTCATCAACGCACATCAGTGAAGGAGAAAAATTATCTGTTTGCAAAATTTTATAAAAGAAACAAAGAAAAACTTTTTTTTTAAAAATGTTTGTTCTTTTTTTTGTTTATTGTGCAAAAAATAAAAAACCCAGTGTGAGTACATACCACCAAAAGAAAGCTCTATTTGTGTGAAAAAAATGATAAAAATTTCATATTTTTTTTCAAATGTTTTGCTCTTTTTTTGTTTATAGCGCACACAATAAAACACTCAGTGGTGATTAAATACCTCCAAAAGAAAGCTCAATTTGTGTGAAAAAAATTATACAAATTTTATATGGGTACAATGTTGCGTGGCGGCACAATTGTCATTCAAAGTGCGACAGCACTGAAAGCTGAAAATTGGCCTGGGCAGAAAGGGGGTATAAGTGCCTGGTAGGCAAGTGGTTAATTAAAGCATTTTATATGTCACATTGAAGTGCTTTGTTTGCGTGAAAAGGTTTATACATGGTAACATAATAGTATAGTGAATCTATTCCATCACATCAGGTTTACACGCACTGAATTCAATTTAGTGGCTTTGTGTCTCAGGTACAAAAGTTTTTTACCCGCCTGAAGCCTAACCCATGTCCTGCACATGTCAATTCACGTTCAACATTTCCATCTCCTTCATCAACTGCTAGCCAGCACTCCGCATAGAAAAAGAAGCTGGTCCTACTCTTCAGGTCTTTGATAATCACATGGCTGAGGTACAAGCTTGGAGACTGACCACTGTTGTTATGCCAAATATGAATCTTCCATAATGGACCCAGACTATCAGGTACACTGAAAAACACAAAAAAAACACAGTAGCTAAATTTCAGATCATACATTGAATAATGAGTTATGCAGGAAAACAAGTAAACACTACTGCTAGATCAATTTTATGTTCAAAAGAAGACCCTATATATTGCTAGATTTATATCTAATCTTCAGATTAAGTTACTTTGGATTGCATTAAAACCAGGAATAGAATTTACAGAGCAACAGTCTTGATTACTACAGAGCAAGGAAGTTAGCAACTTGCTCAGTGTTTTATAAAGCTGCAGAAGTGTTACTAAACCCAGGACCCTGCATTTACTATATCCAGTCTTCCACAATACACAGAACATGGAAATGCAATTATTTTAGTAAATATAAACTGCAACTGTAAATACCTTTTCTAATCAGCAGTATATAGCAGTCTTGCGACTTCTATCAGTGTCCGGCCAAGCACTGGTTGATCTTGTAGGAGGAGTTTTCATTCTCCTCTGACTGTCCTATAAGGCTGCATGACCCCTGACCCTCTGTTCAGACAGCACTAATTGTCCCTGTGCCAATCTCATGCACCCTCCCAAAAAAAAAAAAAAAAACTCTCTAGCAATACACACCAAACAGAGCATGTGCAGACTTGCCACTGCTGCTCTGTACTATAGCAGATGGATTGGGGACATTAAAAGAATGGGAGGATCATAGATGACAGGATCAAACTGCCTATTTACACAAAGGTTAATTACGCAAAAAAACTTTCACACTGCCACCACCTCCTTTTTGTACAGAGAAAGAGGAAACTCGGCAATATCAGCAATAACACTAGGATGATTGGATAATCGTCTGTATACCACTGTCACCGCAGACAGGTTATACAGAGGGTTAAACACACATAGTAGCGCTCTTCGGCGGCAGGAATTCGTAAGTTGCATTAAAGAACTTTGGAAACAGTTCAACACTTTCAGAAAGAAAGATTTATTACTAAAAGGTCAAAAGGGTGCAATAAAAATATTTACAGAAAAAATATGTAACCAATATATATATAAATATACAGAGAACAATAACACAGCAAAAAGATAACAGAAAGAAGTTTAGGTAGATAAGTACTTGCCAAAAAGCCTTGGGTTAAGCAGCTTCAAGTCTCATGAGCCAAAAAGGATTTCTTGTCTCTACTGCTAGTTTCGATGTTAAACGCAGGAGACTCTGCTTTCTCTCACACCCCCAACTCTAAGCATAACAGCCCTTTTTATAGAGTCTCAGCAGGGTGTCTCTTTTTTAGTAGTAACCAATGGTCTCCTTTTGGCGAGGGAGGTGTAGGTGGAGCCCGAAGTTATGACTAGAAGCTCTCATAGCTGCTATTATGATCCATAACTTGCCCTAGGTACACATAAACTTCCACCCGCGGGTAGATTAATATGCAGACGCATCTGTGGAACGGTTAGATATGAAATATGAAATATACACTTGAATGGTTCAAGGGATATACTTTTCTGCTTTTCTATGTATGCCAGCTAAGGAGTGTGACATATCAAACGGTTTGTCTTATCGTGACCAATCTGAAGATATACCTGGTTTTTATGTAAGTCTCTCATATTCCAAGATATGAGTCATAGGGGGGAAAATGGATTTTGAATGTGGTATCTAGTTTATTACTCCTCTGGAATGTCTTTGAACTCAGGGAAAGGCTTGGGTTATACTTTTACGATATGCCAGATTGCACAGTTTCTTAGACAGCTAGGCACCCAGCTTGTGAGGTTTTATAGCTCGGAACCCCCTGCTGTGCTTTGGCTGCCTGTGATCCTTCTCATCACTCAGGGCACATGTCACTGTGGATGAACAGAGAGGGAGGGGGGGATGATGGGACAACATGGAGAATTCCTAACAAAATGGAGGGCCGCGTCTGGCTCTGTGTGCACAATTGCTACAGTGGGTAATAGGTTCCTCCGGGTGCATGGCAATGCCCGGCCTCATGTTGCGAGAGTATGCAGGCAGTTCCTGAAGGATGAAGGAATTGATGCCATTGAATGGCCTCCAAGCTCGCCTGACCTAAATCCAATAGAACACCTCAGGGATATCATGTTTTGGTCTATCCAATACTGCCAAGTTGCACCTCAGACTGTCCAGGAGCTCAGTGATGCCCTGATGATGCCCTGGTCCAGATCTGGGAGAAAATACTCCAGAACACCATCCGTCGTCTCATTAGGAGCATGCCCCGACATTGTCAGGCATGCATACAAGCACGTGCGGGCCATACAAAATACTGAGTACCATTTTGAGTTGCTGCAATGAAATTTCAGCAAAATGGACCAGCTTGCTGCATAATTTTTTCACTTTGATTTTCGAGGTGTGTTTGAGTTCAGTCCTCTGTAGGTTGATATTTTTCATTATCCTATGTTCCTTTAATTTTTTTAAGTGAAGCAGTGAAGAAGCAGGGTAGGGCAGTATGTTGGCAGTTTAGGGCAATATTGTGGCAGGTTAGGACAGTAGAGTGGAAGATTAGGGCAGTATAGTGGTAAGTTAGGACAGTATAGTGGCAAGTTAGGACAGTATAGTGGCAAGTTAGGACAGTATAGTGGCAGGTTGGACCAGTATTGTGGCAGGTTGGACCAGTATTGTGGCATGCTGTTTGTGACAGTGTTCTCAGTCACATACAGCATGGTTGGTGATTGAAGACTCCCCAGTCTGCTGTGTCCATTTCTCTTTTACCTTCCTCAACTGTGGGATCAGCCTGAGTGAAGGAGTCTGTGGGAGGAGTGGAGGGGGCATTCACACCCCTGGCCTTGGCCACCAACTCTGGCTGCCTTGGGAGGTACAGAAGATCTCTGAGGGAAAACCTCATGTGATTAGAGGATAGGGAAGTGTTACAGGCCGCTCCCGATAATTGACTTAACGTAACAGTATATTTACTACCTCTACAAAGCCGCAAGGACAGGGAAAGTACACTATGGTTCAGCAGGCAGGCATTGTCCGGGGTGGCAGTTGTCTTTGTGGGGGGGTGGGGAGTAGGTGCAGCTGAAATCTGGGAGGCATAGCCAACCCTAGCACCCTCCCCCCAGATTCGGCCATGGTTGTCACCCTATTGCAGGAAGTGGAAAAATAACGGATCTACGGACAGTATCAACTGGTGATAAAACAGGAGGAACTGCTGGGTGCTAGTGACAGACTGAATAATAAATGTTCTTTTTTTATTTTGCCTATAGTTACACTTTAACTAAACCTTTATTAAGGGAAAACTCCACTTTCATTCAAAAAAATATAGCATCTAATATTCCTACACAAGCCATTTTGTAACATTGTTTAAAATTACTTTTTCAGTTCAGTTTACAGCCATTGTAACGATGCTAAAAAATATAAACAACATTTCAATGCAATATGGCAACCTGGGGGCATTGTGTATAAAGTAGGAATGCTCCCAGAAATGTAAATTCCTGCTTTTGTGATTGCTTTTTCCATAAGTCTGCACAAAGATACAAGTCACATTTTCGGCACCCCTCATTAGAACACTGAGATTTGCTTGGGTGAGTATAAGGAATGAAGACCCTCCCATTCAGGAATCAACTTAGAATAAACATGTTGAAACAAACAGCTATTTCCTCAGAACAGAATAGGTAGAGATTAGAAACAGTTTGTTAAAACCCTTTCAATGTACTATATGTAGATCACCCAGATAGGATTATTTCTTCTTATTAAAAAAAAAAGTGAAATTTCACCTTAAAGCGGAACTTTACCCTACAGGGGAAGTTCCACTTTATGTCCGTCTCCTGCCTCCAACCACATAAAAAATATTCTTGGGGAGCTGGTACATAATAAGTACGCACTCCCAGTAAGTGATCTAAGAAGTTTGCCCCCACCTCTTGTTTGCCCACAACCTTCTGGAACATATCACAGGCACAGGTCTGTGAGACCATTCACAAATTGTAGCCCGCCTTGCATATGCACAGAGGGAAGCTGGCTGTGAAGCCGCAAGGAGTCAAAGCTGCCTAGCACAGTAAACATGGCAGTGCCGGGGATACGAAGACCAGTGAAGAATGGCCTGGGTGAAGATGGCGCTGGATCCTGGGACAGGAGATATCCTTTTATTAAAAGTCAGCAACTACAGGATTTGTATTGTTATGTTCAGCTTTTAAAAAATCTGAAATATTGTATGTCCATCCAGCACTGTCAGGTTAGTGATTTTTCATTATAATACATGATAATTTAGCCAAACCCCAACATTTAAATGTACACTATATTGGCAAAAGTATTGGGACATCCCTCCAAATCATTGGATTCAGGTGTTCCAATCACCTCCATGGCCACAGGTGTATAAAATCAAGCACCTAGGCATGCAGACTGCTTCTACAAACATTTGTGAAAGAATGGGTCGCTCTGAGGAGCTCAGGGAATTCAAGCGTGGTACTGTGATAGGTTGCCATCTGTGCAATAAGTTCATCCGTGACATTTCCTTGCTACTAAATATTCCATGGTCAACTGTTAGTGGTATTATAACAAAGTGGAAGCAACTGAGAACAACAGCAACTCAGCCATGAAGAGGCAGGCCATGTAAAATGACAGAGTGGGGTCAGCGCATGCTGAAGAGAAAATTGTGCAGAAGTCGCCAACTGTCTGCAGAGTCAATAGCTAAAGACCTCCAAACTTCAGTTGGCCTTCAGATTAGCACAACAACAGTGCATAGAGAGTTTCATGACATGGGTTTCCATGGCCGAGCAGCTGCATCCAAGCTTTACATGAGCAAGTGCAATACAAATCGTCAGATGCAGTGGTGTAAAGCACACCGCCACTGGACTCTAGAGCAGTGGAGACATGTTCTCTGGAGTGACCAATCATGCTTCTCTGTCTGGCAATCCAATGGATGTGTCTGGGTTTGGAAGTTGCCAGGAGAATGGCACTTGCCTGACTGCATTGTGCCAAGTGTAAAGTTTGGTGGAGGGGAAATTATGGTGTGGGCTTGTTTTTCAGGGGTCAGGCTTGGCCCCTTAGTTCCAGTGAAGGGAACTCTTAAGGTGTCAGCATACCAAGACCTTTTGGACAATTTCATGCTCCCAACTTTGTGGGAACAGTTTGGGGATGGCCCCTTTATGTTCCAACATAACTGTGCACCAATTCACAAAACAAGGTCCATAAAGACATGGATGAGCAAGTGTAGGGTGGAGGAACTTGCCTGGCCTGCACAGAGTCCTGACCTCAACCCGACAGAACACCTTTGGGATGAATTAGAGCAGAGACTGTGATCCAGGCCTTCTCATCTGACATCAATGCCTGACCTCACAAATGCACTTCTGGAAGAATGGTCAAACATTCCCATAGACACACTCCTAAACCTTGTGGACGGCCTTCCTAGAAGAGTTGAAGCTGTTATAGCTGAAAAGGGTGGGCCAACTCAATATTGAACCCTACGGACTAAGACTGGGATGCCAATAAAGCTTATGCGTGTGTAAAGGCAGGCGTCCCAATACTTTTGGCAATATAATGTATCTCTATCCCAAACTTTTTTAGTTTTTTAATTTTGTATTGTGTGAGGAAGGGAAAACATATCCCATATCCATATGTATTGCTGTCTGAAGATTCATCCTCCTTTTTGTAATGGTGACCACTGTTCAGCAGTTCACTGGAAACTTATTTTATAAGAGTATGCAATTCCACATTACCTCATTATAAATACATTCCTTGAATTTCTCTCAAACAGAGGTCTGTCAGGACAATATAGCTCTCGGGTTTCAGATACACCATCTTCACCATGTAAAATGATATAAACCTAAAAAAAACAAAAAAGGGTTTTAATATAATATTGTGGCTTTATGATTAATTATTTTATTTTGCTATGTTTAGTAATTTTTTTTTGGATTTCATAAGCAAGACAACAGAGGAGAAGAATCCTTTCTAGACCCTCTATAGGGGGTATACAGGGGGAGTCAGGACCCCACTGCAATCATTTTTCTTCATCCTGTATTAGGACTTCTATTACCCCAGAATCAGAACCAGGTTTACTGATATACACAGTATGACATGTCTGTAATCAGCTGAATCAAAGAAGCAGCCCTCCCCTGTATAGTTAACATTCCACACATTTTCCCTATCATCAGCAGGACATCAGTCATGTCATATACATTTATTTACACAATGAGGTTGATATACTAAAGGCAAATAGGCTCCTCACTTTGCAAGGGAACGTTTCCCATAGCTTAGTAAATGTGGTGAAAATGTACTTTTTTCAAAGAATACACACTCACCTGCAAGGAAATAAAACAAATGACACAGTGTTTCACATGATTGGATGATGTAAGTCAGAAACGCTTCACCTCATTCACTAACCTAAGGGAAAATTCCCTTGCAAATTTAACAGCATTAACAGCAAGCCCATTGTCAGAATATTTTAGCAGAGATTAGTAAAACAATGACTTCCCGTTATTGCAGTGCACTTGGATTTTTATCTCCCTGAATAAAAGTTAAAGTATTACTAAACCCACAACAGTAAAATCAGTCTGTATATGCAGTAAAGCATGCTTGTTATACTCACTGTGGAACCTAAGGGGCAGGGGCGGACTGACCATTTGGAAACTCGGGCACTGCCCGAGGGCCCGGGGTCAGTAGGGGGCCCCATGAGATGCCCCTGGTACCTTTTTCATAGGCTTTTTTGAGTATGGGCAAGGACACAGGGGCCCCATGATCCCTATTGCCTGGGGGCCCCATGAGTTGTCAGTCCGCCCCTGCTAAGGGGTTAATAATTCTGCATTGTGTAAAAAGGCTGTTTAGTCCTGTTTTTTATTCTGCCCTTCCTCTTGTTCAAATGTCCACCTGATAAGACAGACTGAACCCGTGCCCACATGCACACGCTCAGTTTGGTGTGTATTGCTAGAGATGTTTGTTTTCCCCTTGGGAGAGTGCATGTGATCAGCACAGGGCCAATCAGTGCTGTCCAGACAGAAGTTTTGCTTCCTCCTAGAGCAGAAAGAAAACTCCTACAAGCTTCAACCAGTGCTCTGCTGAAGTCACAAAACGGTTCTAACTGCTGATGAGAAAAGGTATTTAGCAGTTTATATTTACTAAAATAATTGCATTCCCATGTTCTGTGTACTGTGGGAGACCAGATATAGTGAATGCAGGGTCCTGGGAGACCAGATATAGTGAATGCAGGGTCCTGGGTTGAGTAACACTTTTAACTTCTCTGAATACATACTTCATGCATCTCTTAGAAAATAAAACAAGCAGAAAAGAAAAAAAGCTGCACTACTAGAAAGTTTTTTTTTCTTAACAGGAAGACGTGTTTGCAACATTGTCTTCCTTTTCTCTTGGGGCTTTCAAAGTATCTGTTGAGTGGGAAAAATGTACAGTATCTTGTTCTATACTGTATATAGTATTATATCACAATACATGTATGGGCTCATTCACAGTTGCAGCAGCCCTTGCCGCCCCTCTGAAAAGCGATCTGCCTGGAGCCCAGTCACATCTGCAACAGGTGTGATCATTATTTCTACACCCTTAGGATAGAAGAGACAGCAGGGCTGATTTACTATGGGAAAATAAGCAATTAACTTTGCATGCGTACGTGTTTAGTGAATGTGGTGAAGTTTCGCTTTGCAAAGGATACCAAATCACATGCAAGGAAAAGAAAAACACAGCATTTTGCTTGTACATGATTGGATGATGGAAGTCAGAAGAGCTTCACCTCATTCATTCAATGAATTTGCCTTTAGTCAGGGCTTTTTTTCAGTGGGAACACGGGGGAACGCAGTTCCGGCACCTACAGCACTGAATGTATATAATGGAAAGGGGTGGCTGGGTGTGCAGGAGGGTCTGTTGTTGCTGGCTACTGGGGGATCTATTGTTGCTGGGGAGGTCAATTGTTACTGTTGGGGGATCTATTGCGTCTTGGGGTCTGATATCATTGGGAGGGATCTTCTATTGAGAGAGGGGTCTATTTTTGGTGGATACTGGAGGGTATATTGATGCGTGCTGCTGGGTGATCTATTGCTACTGATGAGGGTCTATTGTTGGTGGTGTAGATCTATCATTACTGGGGGGTGTATTTTTGTTGTTTTGGGGGGTCTATTTTTGCTGCAGGATCTATTGTTGCTGGGGAAATCTATTGTTGCTGGCTGCAGGAAGATCTATTTTACTGCTTTTCTTGTTGTTATTATTAACAATCAATACAAATAACTTGATACAAAATGAATGGTGGTTCTGTATTCTCTAAAAGGTGCAGTATTGGGATGTAGGTAGGGGGTGGATGGTGCACAGAGGTGGGTAAGGGCACAGAGACAAGGGTGACTCAAATGGGAAAACGACCTGCACCTATTCTCTGAGAAAAAAAGCCCTGCCATTAGTAAATCAGCCCCAGTCTCTTTTGTCCTAGTTAAGCTATGGTTCACACCAGTGCGGCTTTGAAGTCACATTACTCAGGGACCAAGGGACGTATTTGTCCCATGTTTTTAATTGCCTGTATCATCTGATTAAGAACTTAAAATACTTTTTTTTTTTTGGTTTGAGTCAAAATATTAGTTCTTATCAACAAATGGATCTAGCTTTTTGCCAATTATTTCATGAAATGGCTTAGTTACAGCAACTGAAGTGTACTAACTTTAAAAACAAAAAATTGATTCTTTTGGCGTTCCGTAATCTTATGGTCCTCGAAGGGTTAAAGCTGACTATTCAGTTTCGATTTCATTGCAGCCTGCTGGCATTCTGTGCAGGAACCTTTCTTAAAGTGGCAGCAACTTGAGTCGCACCAGTTTGAACAGTTCCATTACCACAAATGGGGTGCGACTTGTCATATGACTTTGATCTGTCAAGTCACATGACAAGTCGCACTGGTGTGAAAAAGGGCTTAGTCTCACCGATCAGTGTTGCAGCACAGTGCCTCAAAAACAAAGTTATTTGAAAATGGTTTTCATTTATTTATGCTGAGAATATGAAAATACTTTAAGAGCATCTTTTGTGACTGAAGCTGCATGTTTTATTTAAAAAAAAAAAAAAAAAAAAAAAAAAAATCCCTGTGAAATTTTACTACTGCTAATCATAAGCTGTTCGCCTGCCGAACGCCCCACAATGCACTGCACTCTCACAGTGCGTTGTGAGAGCCATGATTGGCCAAAGCAATGCACCTGATCAGAGGTCAGGTGCAATGCTTTGGCCAATTACAGCACAATGCAGAGAGCCATGATTGGCCAAAATCACAGCAGCCTTGTGTAGTGTGTTGATAGACACTGTTGAAGACAGAGGGGAAAATGCTCTTCTCGAAAAAAATAAATAAATTAAAAACAAATAATAATAATAATTAATTAAAAAAATACATTAAAAAAAAAAACAAAACAGCCCCCCCATCCTTACCAGGCCTCGTAGGAAGGTTAGGAGGAACCCCATATTCATTTTTTTTTAAAGTGCGTGGGGTTCCCATTAAAAGCCCTTTAGGCCTGGTAGAACTTTTAAGGGGAACCCCATCCCCAAAAAATGGGTGAAAAAAGTGTGGGTCCCCCCTAAATTCCTACGAGACCCTTGATCCGGGCACAGACCTCCACCAGCCCGCCCGCACCGTTGAGCACTCGCCGCATAATGGCAGGTCTGACAGTTGCCAGTCAGATGTAAACAATTCGGCCTGGTATGGCTTTTAGGAGAATCCCCACAAACCTTTCCCCCTCATTTTTGGGAGGGGGTTCCCCTTAAAAGTCCCACCAGGCCTAAAAGACCTGGTAATGCTATTGGAGGGAACCTCACACACTTTTTTTTTTTATGATTTGAGGGAGATCCCACGCTGTTTTTTTCTATATAAAATTGTCAGTCCTGCTGCAGCAGGTTCTGTACACATACAGATGTGCAACTTTGCAGGTAGTTTAAGGGGAACCCCAGGCATGACATTTAAAGGATTTTTTTTCTACTTTAATCAATGAAAAATGACTGCCCCTTTAAAAATGGTACTCTTTGAATTTTTTTTTTCACTGATTCTTGTCCCTCAGGGAAGTACCCAGGTCCCTATACCCCTTTTATGGCCAATACCTTGCATATAAACCTTCAAAATGGACACTTTTGATTTTACAAGTTCAAGTCTCATAGACTTACATTGAGTTCAGAGTTTGCGGTCGAGCTTTCATTAGGTTCAAATGTTCAACCACGAACCGAACACGGGGGTGTTCAGCCCATCACTACCGCTAATACATTTCATCACATGCATACACAAAGGAAATCATGCTTTTTTATTTGCCGGTCTGCTGTTATTTGAGTTAAAATGTTCTTAATTAATATGTACCTTACTGAATATTAAAATTACCTTAGCTGTTGACTTTGGTCTAGATCGAAATCCTACATCAGCCATAATGGCATATCTTTGCTGATCATTTGGAGAATTATCCTGGAGAAACACAAATGCATTTTTCTGATCCTCATGCTGGTCCTTGATTTTACCAAAGATCATCAACAAAATGTAGAAGATAACGGCAATCACAACTATAATGCCAGGAATGGGATTGTTTGTGGTGCTGAAAAAAGAAATGTTTTTGTTATGATAATTTATATACATGAATTCTGCATTTGCACATATACTTGTAAATCAAAAAATGCGACCGTGTTCATAATAGTATGATGTACTGAGGATTAGCAATGAAGTTGCAATGAGCAAGTACTGAAACTTTCTGTGTAATACTAGGCTGTTTTTCTTTTTTTTTTTTGTAAACTTGTAGTTTTGCACCCCCTTTGGCCTTTATGTCACCACATTGTTTTTAGTAGAGCATCCAAGGAGATACTCCCCTTCCCTTTTTCTCCATCAGTGACCATAATGTCTTTCTAGCCACTTAGAACATATAGTCAGAATCTCTAGATAATGCTCTTGATATGGGCCTTACCTAGATTGTTGTAAAAGATGCATTAGATTGTTAAACATATGCAGCAGTTTGGCTGACCTCTGGAGCCCTAATATAGGTAGACATTAAATCATCCACATACTCGTGTGGTGCCACTGCTTTGACAATGCCTAAGCAGGGGCAGACTGACAACTCATGGGGCCCCGGGCAATAGGAGATCATATTCATATATAAAATATTTTCAATATTTTACCTACAGGTAAGACTTTATAAGGCTTACCTGTAGGTACTGTAAATATCTCCTAAATGTGCACCATTTAGGAGACATTTACTCTAGATGCGCTGATGATGTCACTGACGCATGCACACACTGCACTCTCAATGGACGGCGTGCCGCAGCTGCTACTCTCTTCGCGCATGCGCAGGAGTGATGACATCGCGGCCTGGCCAATCGGATGGCCGCAACTCGCGAACCCTGAAGGAAGACCAGGTGCAGATGGAAGCCTCGGGGAGCCATGACAGTGCTCAAGTGGAAGGCTTTGTTTTCAGGTAAGTCATTCATAATGTGCTAGTATGCGATGCATGATAGCAACTTCAAAATTGTTGACGAAGCCACGTGTCCCTGTGGACTCAACGCGTTGGGGGGGGGCTTTGACGTCACCACAGCAACCCGACTTCGAGTAGAGGCCTGGCAGAGCATCACCAGGGATGAAACCCAGCGTCTGGTGATGTCTATGCGTTCCAGACTTCAGGCTGTAATTGACTGCAAAGGACTTGCATCCAAGTATTAAAAAGTGAAAGTTTGATTTATGATTATTATTCTGTCCCATTACTTTTGGTCCCTTAACAAGTGGGAGGCACATATGCAAATTGTTGTAATTCCTACACCGTTCACCTGATTTGGATGTAAATACCCTCAAATTAAAGCTGACAGTCTGCAG